AAATGTTGTGACCCCTAAACCCCCTACATAATTTTGAAAAAATATAAAGAAAAAATGTTATGACCCCTAAACCCAAACATAAATAATATAAAGAAAAAATAATTTTGAAAAAGTGGTATTTTTGTAAAAATTTCAAAAGTGTGGCATTTTTGTAAAGTAACACTTGAAAAATGGTATTTTTTGAAAATTTTCAATATATTTGCATTGGTCTATATATCTTGCTCTTAAGTTAATTTGTCCCGTTCTTACCAAATGTTGGCTAGTTTCTTCTAGAATTCCGCCGCCTCCAGAAGCATAATTTAGTCCGGTGTGAGCTTGTTCCGGAGATGCTCCCGTTAACGGTGGAATATAATCACTGAATCCCATTAGATTAGCTGAAAAAAAAAGTCATTAAAATTCATATTACACATGAGAACATATAATAAGAATTTTTTTGTTAGTTTACATTTAATAAAAAAAAAAAACATATTGACAAAGAAATAAACAAAGCCCAAGACTAACCGATTAAGTCCGGAATATTACGACCATCGCTGAACCGGCCGGTAGGACCTCTAGGAAATCCAGTACCGTAAGGTGAATAGTTAACTTTGGCCAAGGTGTTCAAGTCATTGTTGTTACCATTGTCGAAGACTGAGTCTCCGAAAACGAAATAGCAAGGCACTCGGTGTCCACGAGCCACCTCGGCCATTGTAAACGCCGTGACCGCAAAAACACACAACAATGCTTTGAACATTCCCTCGGCCATTTTCTGAATCAGTTATCAGATTGAAAATGGTAATGTTGATGTTGATGAAGAAAAGAGAAGAGTCTATATATAAGAGAATACATAGAGACATACATGAGTCATTAAATTATTGAATTTTTTTAAATTAAATCAAGGGATGTTAATTATTTGATTTCTTTTTTTTTTTGTGTGGGAAAAATCTTTGAGAGTCAACTTGTACGTGAGTTGTAATGTGAAAATACGTGCGGAAAATGTTTGGGAATCATCTTATATAACAAGAAAAAACCTTGTGGTGTTGTTGGAAAATGTTTTAATAGTCGTTTCGTATCTGAAGATGGTACGTGAATAAAAAGATCACATCGTAACAAGAAAAAAAAGGTCACACTCTTCTACGCAAGACAGCCGCTCACGTTTGGAAACAAAAAAAGAATGTGCTACACAACGCTCGCCACATCCCACCTAGGGAAGTCTTCAAGCATATTGACCGAGAAATACGAAATACGTTAACGTCAAGAAGACATCGGAAGCACTCGAGAGACTTACGACTACTTTGGCTTAGATAACAACACCAAAATGTTACCCTTCTTATTATTGTAATCTTGTTTTTACTTTTTTTTGCCAAGATTACTATACATTAGGTATGGCTCTTTTGTAATGTCTCATATGTTCATTTTCTAATGATATTAACTTTTTAGCAAAAGAAAAAAAAGTAGTTTGCAAAGTCGACGCATTTGGCAATGTTGATTATGGGTTAATTATTGTGATGACTACAACAATGAGCTGTAGTTTGTTAATTTATTATTTTTATTTTTAAACTCCAAACACATCGTGAATCCCATAATATTAGGGATTCGGTTACATTGTCTTTTCTACATGCAAAGAAAAAAAAACTATATGGAGTTTGTTTGTGCAAAAAATAAAATATATATTAGCTACTGTGATTAGCATGTAGCAACAAACCAACAACCACAAACACTTTTTTTTTGTTAAAAGTATATTATGCAACCACAAACACTTGATAATGCATCAATAAGTCAACCACATTTTGAAATTTTGTTTCCAAAAAGACCATTATTTTTTAAATATTTTAAAAATACCATTATTTGGTAAATGTTTTCAAATATACCACAAAACTAAAATTTAACTTTCACCATTCAAAACTAAACTTTAAACCCGAAACTCAAACCCTACCTCTTTAAAATTATACCTTAATTTCACAATAGTTAATCCAACCTAAAACTTTAAATTATAAACCCTTGAAAACAATTTTTGTGTCTATTGTATTTTTGGAATATTTAATAAATTGTGGTATTTTTTGAACATTTAAGAAATGGACAAGTTTTGGAAATAAAACTTGAAAGTCTAATATTTTAGGGAATTTCTCATTCTTAATTTTCTGTTTTCAATCGAATACAAAATTTGAATTCAAATCAAGAAATCATTTGTACAATGAATGCGTCCTTATGCTTGAATTAAGAAAAGATAAAAAAACCCCAAGATTATCGTGTTGCTTGCCAAATCTCCATCGCCTCGCCAAAGGCGATATCACTTGTGGCTCGGATAGAGTTTATGCGATCAAGACATTTTTGTCGATTGTCTTGATTAGAGTTGCTGGAAATTTAGCTGGT